TCCTGATAATCCGCCTTCTTGTTAGTCAGGGGGTCGATCGCCTTCTCATCAATCAACCAGCCACCCCGCACACAAGCACTATCATACACTGTGTAAGTGCAACGGTCGAAAGCGCTTCTCTGCCTTCATTTCCACAAAGCAATCGACTCTTCCAGAAATGACCTAGGATCGCCTACTTCACTGCGCGCCGCCTTTCTTTCTCCCACCCCATTCCATCAACCTCGTCTTGCAAAAGCTTTGCTGACACCTTATCTATCCCTGCTTATGACCTAGGATCGCCTGCTTCACTGCGCGCCGCCTTCTTTCTCCCACCCCATCCCATCAACCTTGTCTTACAAAAGCTTTGCTGACATCTATCTATCTATCTATCCCTGCTTCCTCCCACGCATCCCACCCATCAAACCTTTCTACCCGCCACCGCAACAAATCTATTCACATCTTCAATCCTCCGAGCAACAACTTTTTCTCCTCCTCTCTCTAAAAGGACAACCGAAATCGCCCACTTGTTAGAAAAAAAAAAAAAAAAAAAAAAAAAAAAATCGCGACTACTCTCTCGCGAACAGCGTGTTCCCTGAGCCCGCCTTGCCTTGCCTTTGCCTTCTCGTCTTTTCCCGCTCCGGGCCTACGGGACCAATCTGGAAAAGTCCCACTAACTTTAAGCCCGCCCTAGTTCTCCCCGCTAACTTGCACCCCGCCACGGTTCTTTCCGTCTTCCCGCGCACTCAAGCCCTGCCGAACGCTAATTCCCTCCCCACCGTTCCCGCTCATTTACATCCCGGCTTGCATTTTCCCGCCAAAATCCAAGCCTTCCTTACCTCCCTTCAGCGTGAAATCGTTACCCTCGTCATATTTTATCTCCCGCCAACAAGAAGACTATTGTAGCCTTCCCGTTTTCCCGCCTTCCTGCTTTGCCCGCCAACTAAACGTTTTCACTGAGAGCTCATCTGCAATGCGAGCCTCCGCCTCCTCTCCCGCCAAACACGCTCGCCAACGGCTTTCCCGCATCCCTCATTCTCGTCCCAGTCACACATTCCCGCCAAAGGTCAGTGTCCTTCCAAGCACCAAGCATGAACGTCGAGACAACCAACCCGCCATTTCCCCCCCGGTCCTTTCCCGCACTCGCGTATGCAGCCCAACCTCTCTCCTCCAGCACGATCACGCCGGCAGGCAGGTACACGCTCAAGCGCGCCCAGAGAAACAGCCTCGCTGAGAAAAGGTAAGTAAAACCGTTCCACACGTCCTACACTTCCCAGTGTCGCGACATTCGTTCGACTGCGATCGGGATCCCCTTCCACCAGCCTGCTGCTTCACAACCTGGACAGGACAACACTTTGAAACCTCTCCCTGTACTGTTCTCACGTGAGTGGCAAGCAAGCCATACCTTCCCTTCCTTGTGGTCCTCTTCCACTACTTAAATGTATTTCAGGCGGACGCTAAATGGCGGGAATGGGACGGGTTGAGCAATCTGATCACTTGACTGATCACTTCACTCGAACACGCAGGCTTTCCTTCTTCCTCCTCCTCGTCGTCGTCGTCGTCGTTTTCTGCTTCCTAAGGAAGCGCGTCGCGGAGGGCAACTTCAAGGGATTGGGGGATGTGCTTAGTAGTACTCAGCAGCTTCTCGTAAGCTCAACGCCAGACTGGCGCCGCGAAGCATCAGTGTACAAGAAGCATGGGCGGGGTGAAATTCGCCGTTACCACCCACCAACTGCTACAGCCCGCTCGAACATGGTCGTTGTTGAATGAAAGCGAGAGAACAGAGCAAGACTTGGTATGAGCGCGAAGGAGGGAAAGTCCTCCTTCGCCACTGGAACGTCTGGATCAGGGATGCGTCTCCCACCTCCAGTCAAACACAGCAAATACACACACGTCTTCCACAGGCTTGGCCCTCAGACACCCAGGATGGACGAATTGCGCTAAGTCTAGCCCACCTTGGGTTGAGCCACACGCGCTGTGCACCAGGTCGTGTGGACTGCTAAATCGGCGAAAGCGCTGGCTTGCCCGACAACCTGACCAAACCAGACTGACCCGACAGTCCGCCCTGCCATGGCGCCCACCCCCGCCACAGCGTACACGCACGGGGAACTCTCGAAATGAGGCAAACCGACCGGAGACAGGGTCCGACGGCCGGCCCAACGCCCCCTAGAGAATCAACCCATCATGCGGAGCCCTCAAGGTGCACAAAATGGACATTGAACTGCGTTTCTGCATCTCTGCTTAGAACACGTCCAGATTCGGGAGCTTAATCCAGTCGTCTTCGCTACCGCCCCAGGACTTTTCCTTTTTTTTCGGGGGTGATCACAACTGTCTATATTCTTCTCTCAACTTCTGTATTGTTTTTAGCTTCCACTACCTAAGACTATCTAGAGGGGACCCCTGCAAGCATAGTTTTCCTCTCTCTGTGAAGGGGAGATTTCATGTTGCCCCTTGCCCCTAATGGGTTAGGGTATAGGGTTGGGGCCGCCAGTGGGGGTCTGGCTAATTGACTTACCGTGAGGGCACGGGTGCGCAGCCCGTAGGTCGTTTGTTTATGTGGTTCGGGAAGGGTAAGGTAGTGAATCTGTTGTATGTATGTTTTGTCATGTTCGCTATACACAACTCGAAGAGAGTGTGTGTGTGGGGTCCCGGTTGATGCCTTATTCACGATGTTCACGGGACGCTGGACCCAGTTTCCAGCAGGTGGCACTCCCCATCAATAGACAAGAGAATGTATGTGCATGTGTATGTGAGTGTGTGTGTGTGTGTGCGTGTGTGCGTGTGTGTGTGTGTGTGTGTGTATGTGTGTGTGTGTGTGTGTGTGTGTGTGTGTGCGTGTGTGTGTGTGTGTGTGAGAGAGAGAGAG